TCGATCCGCCTGCGGGGGCGGGTGGCCGGAGCGGAGGTGGCGGTGGCCTGTGAGGCGAGTTCGACCGCCTGCTGATAGCGGTCGCGCTTAAACGCGGAGTTTGTGGCCCTGCGCCACTCGGAAGCTTCGACGTTTCTCGAGCAGATTACATCGCGTGCAGTTCCCAAGCATTAACGGCCGGTGTGTTTGATTTACAGAAAATAGAGGTCTGCTACTGTTCCGTTCCGAGCTCTTAATTTGATTCGTTGATAATAGAATGAAAAGAGGAAGTGCGGAAACTTGGAAAATAACTACTCAAACACTCAAGTGCATATAAGATTTTCCGTCACTTCTTAAAGTGTAATAGAACCGGAATAATATGATATCATGAGTACTATTCCTACGTAATGTAATGCAAAGACGAACTAGAAACTTCTCTAGGTTAAAAGCAAATAATAAAGATTTCTTCGTTCTTTAATTGTGACATTATTTGTTTTTGGCTAAGCCAAGTTTAAGATGGAGGTAGCACATTTAATATTTACCATTCCTAGTTACAGGGAACTATTTGTTTTAGTTAGAATACGGATTTGTATGTAAATGCATAATTTTACGCTTTTGTTCAGTAATTGTCTTCTTATTTGTTTTTGGATAAGTAAGCAGTTTTAATCTTTACCATACTTAGTTACAGAAGCAATTTGTCACAGTTACTACCTGAATACGCATTCAAATGTTTATTTTTATGCTAATGTTGTATAACTGTGTCATGAGTTGTTTCTTGGCTAAGATAAGTTGGAGATGGAAAATAATAACTCTTCGTCATAATTATCCTGAATTTGTATGCAAATGCAGAGATTTACCTAATTCTTAGTTAAAAAATGATTTCATACTTTACTAATAATAACGTGGAAATATTTTTGGCATATTGTATTTTCAGATATACGTACATATTTGAAGGTTAACTTTTTCTGCATATTAGACCAATTTTGAAAAACTAAGAAAGAAAATTTTAATTTTTAATCGTTGCTGGTCTCTTGTACGTGTCATATTCTCGTGATTTGTAATAATATATAACAATGTAATTTTAATAAAAAATATACGACAATGAAATTTTAATGCATAATATACCACAATGAATAGATTTTACGAAATAATAGACTTAAATATTTGAAATTCACCTAAAGACAAAACTAAAATTGCTTCTTAGAACCAACGAACATTGTTTTTGGTAGTTTATTTAGATCAGGGAACACCTAGTGCTGTTTGAACACTAATGAGAGATCTATTTCATTTCGTTTCAAAACAGTTTTAAATTGTTAGAGGATTATTTATGCATTTATTGAATTATGTATTAGCTTTAATATCTGTTAAAATGTGTGTGTACCTTACTATGGGGAGTTTCAATTGATAATTTCAAATAAAATATTGTTTTGTTGTAATCACCTCCAGCATTTCATTTCCTGTATTACAAAAAAGCGTTTCTGAAGTTATGTAGAAAAACACACCAAATCTCAGATATACAGATGAAAGAACGCTACACGAAAAATATCTTAAAATTACTTCGAAAAAACTCAAATTTGTAACAATATTTATATTACCCAGCTTTAAATACCTAGTTGTGAATCAAATAACTGATATCGGGAAAACTTTTAATTGCTTATTAATAATAAAATGTTTTTAAGCATTTTAAACATTTTTACTACCTTTATATATCACTCTAATCATATATTGCTATCGCGTTCTTGGGAAAATTCTTGTATTTACTGCATTGTTGACCGCACATTTCGGTTCGACGACACTTTTTGACTGAAGAAATACTTTGAAACCTTTTTTTTCGATATTCGCCAATTATTTCCCACCAGTGTTTGCTAATTTTAAATACAAGAAGTGCTAATTTCAATTTAAATTTCCATTTGCTGTGGATGCTCCAATTCTGCAAGAAATAATACACAGATATCAGAATAAATATACCCCAAATAAATGTACATGTTTATACATTTCAATGACTCTCGTAGTCGTAAAGTGGGGCGTATGTTGAAAAGCTTTGTTACCTTGATAAGATAAAGCACGACATAAATAGATTTCAAGCCTGATAATCGACATACCTTCTTACGTGAATTTCTTTTCACCTCTTGACTCTGACACGGATCTACACTTTCAATTAAAAATGTATTAGTGTCTTTATTCTGTGCGACGTTTATTCGATATTTTTATCAGCTCACTGACATGCATGGAAGGATATTTTGCATGCCCCAAACTGTGGGCTGGAAGACTGGTCATGAGTGACGCACGGATGCATGGACGGACGGACAGCCAGCAGCAGACACGTCGATTACTAATATTATAGCCGTATTTGGATGAAACCGTAAGAGAGGGTAGAGTTGGTACTATCCATTAACCCTTCTGCATACACAATCAAACTCCCAGATGACTGAGTTGTTCTTCCGTTGATAGAGTCTCATACAATTTTTCGAGAACATCGTTCATCTCCGAATTTCTCCATTATTGATATAAATGTCATAGCTTCGGTGTCATACCAATAGGATTTTCAATGTCGTCACCAGAATATTCTCAATCAAACCGTGTGCAACGCAGTATATTGCAAGCCGGAACGTGTAGTACAATTTACAATTGATACAACTTATTAGAGTAAATCTTGTTCTTATTATCGATAAATATTGTAGATAAATGAAAGTTTATAATTTCGATATTAGTAAATGTGTTTTTGAGTTGAAACAACCAATAGTTAGTTTGAGAAGCAGGATAGGCTACAATTCAAATGATGCATTTGAGGAATCATCGCGTGTGCTCGAATAGTTTTTACTAGCGCGTGTACCCCCAGGCCAAGTGACACTCTCAGAAGGGAAACGTTCATGACTCCCCCCGCAGATCCACCACTGCTCCGTGAAGTGTGATGGGAGTCTGCGCGACGTCTTGGAAGAGCCACTTGGGGCGGGTGGCCGGAGCAGGGGGAGAGGGAAGAGCAAGGAGGGGAGGGTGAGGAAGGGAGGGGAAGAGGGGGAGGGGGGGTAATCCGCGCGCGGCACCTCTTGCTACCGCCGGCCGTCGCCGATCGCAGCACCGAAGCCTAAGCCCAGTAATCACCTCGTCGCTCCCCCTCCCCCGCCACGGCGCTATTCTTCGTGGGTGCGCGGTGGCCGGGGGACGGACGGGCACGACAGACAGGGTATGCGCAGTGTGTACGGTGAAAGAAAATTGGGGGAAAAATTAGCGGTCAGCAATGAAACCCTCTCCAAAAAATACTTCTCTAAATAATATTTCCCGACTACGATGGTTAAATCATATGTTTTATTACGTCACCCATGAAAATGTTTTTTAATAAGCTTTATCAAAATACGTAACAAGAAAAATATTTCAATATTTAATACAAACAGATTCAGAAATCGAAATAGATATTTTCTGTGACAAAAAAAAATTTGACAATTAAGGACGGCCAAGTAATGAGTAGTTCGGAAACAAACTCCGTACGTGAAGGACACTTTTCATTATACTAGCAAATTAAATATAATTTGTGACTATGTAAATTAGTAGAGGTACTCTGACATTATGTTATGATTCGGTTTGTTAAAAATTTATTTATAATAGTTTGGCCAGCAGCTCTTGAAGTTCGATATGTCTGTATAATTACTGATATTGTAGATGGTTTTAATTTGCAACTTTTTACAATCATATTTTCATAATCTTCTGGTTAATAAATTCGATCAAGTCTTCTTATGATTCGTTTGACGTTTTTGATGTCTCTGTTGCATGGCAAAAAGAGTGTTCATGAAGACGAACATTATGTAGATATTTAATTATTAGGTACGTAACTACAGTTGATTCTTTCAACTTAAGAAACAACATGATAACTCCCTCTAATATTCATATTACAGGTCTGTAGAGTCGATTACATACGACTATGTCGAACTCAAGCGGCAAGAAGGGGAACGTAAGGTACTGAGTGGAAGAACAATAGAACTCAAAGAGTTATACCGTCCTTTTACTCAATACACTAATAGTCTTGTAAATGCGCACATAGTGTTGTACTGTTTTTTATTTCACAACAAAGGACCACGTTTAGAAGTGATTTTGGCTATATCCATTAAAAAATCAATGTCAGTTTTGTATTGCTATGGTTTTTTCACTCTCCTATGCACATTTTCATTTCATTCCTCAATCGGTAATTCATTTTTCGATCGGCTGAATGTGAATCGGCTGAATATTTTAGTTCTTTCCTTATCTTTCCCACAATTTATATTTTGTAATTTTCATTAGGACTTGCATTATAGTGCCCTTTAGTTATTACATGAATTTACATCTTATCTTGTTTCTAGAAGATAATGAATTCATAACGGATGATTTATTCTTACTTTGACATCCTGTCCCATATATTTGTTTTTACCATTTTGGATAGTTAAGCATCCGTAGGCTTCTATGGCATTCTATAGCTTATGGCTTCTATTGTTTTGATACTTTTTTAGGGATGTGTCTAAATTTCGTAAATACCACGTTATTATAAATCTTAAAATTACTGAAGAGCAAGACGTCAAATCAAAACAAAGACTAAACCTGTTCAAAAAGTTTCAAGTGATACCTAAATATGTTGCTGGAAGAGTAATTTAACAGAAAATTTCGGTTTCTGGTATATATTTTAAAACGTGGTTTAATTTTGTGGACCTTGTCACGCTGAGATCGAGGACTGCTTCACGGAGTAAAAAATATTTACCTTGTATCGTTCCGATTATTAACATTAACTGTATTTTGTACTAGAATGATAGCCGTTGTCACTCACAAATACAGTAGATAAATTAAATTCAGTTCCAAAATCCGGACCAGCCGGGATCAGTTCACGGATTGATCCGTTTACAAAATATTTTTTTAATAAAAATATGGGATAATGCTGGTGATTTTTTAAATTCATTTACACTGCAACTGGTTATACAGATGTAGCAGTTTCATTGTCAGATTCATATATTTATCATTGAATTGTCACCTAATTAATGATAGCTAAGAATAAAATAGAAATGTTAAAAGGTAATAATATTTATGAACATGGTATTTAGCTAAATAATGTCAAAAATTGTCGTCGGTCACTTTCATTACTCTTAACTGTACCACACTCCTCAGTTTTCCATTGCAATAGTCAATCCTCCACGTCACTGCATTGCCTAACACTATATCTCTTGATAACACATTTTAATTAACTAATTCTAACTTGTTTCTAAAAGATGAAGGGCTTGTAAATGTGTTGCAGGTAAATTATTCCAACCTCCATTTTTTCTTTTCCTAAACGAAAACTGTCAAAAACCTGTCTTTTATTTCCTTTCTTGAATTTTGCACCGCTTGGAACTGTTTCAAAATCATAACTAGAACTGAAATACATTTTTTGTCAAGAACCTTAATGAAAATAGAAAGAGAATACAAAAAGGTTTATTAACAGAAAGTGAATATAAAATATTATTTTATTCGAAATTGCTTCCAAATGATTTATTAATCGAAACCGAATTCAAATTATTTGTGGTGACATGAAACCTAATCTCTCCCATGTCTTTTTGGCTCTATTTTACAATCATTATCCTAGACACTACAAAAACTAGTGCTGTGACATTGTAGGAGAAGATTGGTCATTGTTTTGAGTAAACACAACCAGATTTGAGTATTTTGAATGGATTTTGAAATTCACTGCATATTTAATGTAGATGTCAAACTCTTACCATTTATGCACTTTACAATTATTTGCTGCATTTCTGGAGAAATCGTGAAAAAAGAAACTCATTTTGCTTTCATATATTCATCATTAGTTAATTCACCTCCCAAAATTGCCACGTGAGTAAATTCAGAGGTACGTTCAGGATGAATTTGTTCAAAATATGTAACGTAAAGGAGACTCGAAAGCAAAATGACTGCCATTTTCTCATAAGCAGTTGCAGGAAAGGTGTCAAAAAAGAGTTTATTTAGCTATGATACAAATATAATTTTATTCTATAAGCTCTATATATTTACAAGAATTTCAAAGATATGCAATAGATTTGTAATGCTGCGCTAAAAACGGCGAATTTCCGGCATTAAAATTTTATTACAGGGTCCTGGTAGCAAAAAGTGGGTAAATTAAGTTGCTAAATTGAGAATAAACGTTTTCAAACGCGTGGTGTAGCCAGAATCCCTGATTTGTGGGTTATGGAAAAATCGAATGATGGAAAAACGTCTGTGTCCGTCTGTCCGTCCGGTCGTCCTTCCGGCCGTCGTTCTGTGAACAACGTCGCCGGCTTTAGCGTTTTCCCCCCTAAAATTGACATTCCTCATCGATCTGGCTGACCTCGCGGTCTCTTCAATT